TATATATATATATATATATGTTTTATCATTTCTTTTAGAATTCGATCATTTAGCCAATGTCGTTTGATGTTTACAACGCACGAAGAGAAGAGCTATGACAAATGTGAAGTTGTATCGAAATAATACAGCATTGTTTAAAAGTGATCATGGCAAGGAATCATCATTATTGTCATCATCGTTTAACTCGTCTCTGTCGAATTATTATTTGATCCAGCAACAACAACTGAAACAAAGTACATTGCATTTTTCAATGTTTTTATGTCGCAAACTGTCCTAAAAAAGCCAGTGCACAGCCCTTGTCTGTAAGTGGATGTGAAAATCGAGATTGTAAATCAGGGGATGCCTAGCCTACACTCGCTCGTCGTACGACGAGCCCCCTTAATGGATATGGGCACGACAACTAGTTCAGTAACTTCTGTTAATCCACCGCCCAAACCTAACAACAATCAAAAGAAAATAGACAAGACTAATAAACTTACTGGTATAAGATTACCATTGTTACGTAAAGAATCAAGTGTAGTCAATCTTTCTTTGACTGAAAGAACATTACCAGGCAAAGGCATAGACTCTCCGCTTTTGAGACCGGAAAGCAGTGCCAGTTTGGAAGCTCGAGGTGGAAGTTGGATTAATTTAGCTCCTGGTGCACTTAGAAAATGTGAAACTGCTGTCGGATTGAGTACATCTGCTTTAGAAGGTAGAGCCATCAATCGCAGTAGAGTTTGCTCTCGCTGTTCTAGTTTATTGTCATTAGCATCTAGCTCGAGATACAGTTTAGCTGCTGGCAATTTTGTACCGACCAGTTCACAACAGACCGTTGGGAGAATATTTTGTAAGCTTTGTCTTACCGACACATCCTTTTCCAAAACGTTTAAAATCGAAGGCTGTGGTTGTTTTTACTGTAAAGATGTAAGTATAAACTATATGTATTCATTATAAGAAAGATACAATGTTCATTAATATAAATAATGTCTTTTAGTGTATGAAAGCATATGTCGAGTTTGAAATCGAAGAAGGTGCGTATGAAATTAGTTGCCCGGATGCACAATGTGAACAAGGTGCTATCCTGTCGCTAAAAGAAATTAGAAGTCTTGTTACTCCTGAGTTATTGGATAAACATAGCAAGTTTCGTTTGAATAGAGGTAAATAAAAGATATGATTCCTAATTCGTGTTAAATGAATGACGAAATATTGTGTTGCTATTAAGTCTTTATTTTATACAGATGTTTCGATGGATACAAAACGGGCCTGGTGTCCACGTGCAGGATGCGAAACAATATGTTCAATCAATTCCAATGGAAGTAGTGGTACGCCTCCTGGACCTATCCACTGTCCTAATTGTTCTACAGATTTCTGCTCCATGTGTAGAGAAGCATGGCACAGTGGACCATGTTCCGATCTTCCATTAGGTATACCATTTGACAATGATCATATTAAATGCTGTCCTATGTGTTCTGTACCTATTGAAAAGGACGAAGGATGTGCTCAAATGATGTGCAAAAGATGCAAGCACGTTTTTTGCTGGTACTGTTTAGCTTCCTTGGATGTAAGCATTTTAGTACTTTATCATTTTAGCGACAAATATATTTTTCACTATTTTTTAGTATATAATATATAGATTATAATTTTATATTTAATAATATCTGTGATATAATTATTATTAATATTTTAGGATGACTTTTTATTGAGGCACTACGACAAAGGCCCATGTAAAAATAAATTAGGTCACTCACGAGCGTCTGTAATATGGCATAGAACACAAGTAATTGGTATATTTGCCGGTTTTGGTTTGCTCCTACTTGTCGCCTCTCCTTTGCTACTTTTGGCTGCTCCATGCATAGTATGCTGTAAATGTCGTGTCTGTGGTTCCTCAAGGCTCGAACAGGAAGACGGTGATACAGCAACATAGAAACTGTAAAATATTTTCAAGCTCTTTCTTAATCTTACATATTAATAATCTTTCTCTTATCAAAATGGAACGAATAAACTAGCTTCTTTCATAAATGAGCAAATATAATCGGCATTTTATATAGATATACATTGGTTTTTAATGATGTTTTATTTGTTTTTCTTTTTTAAAAAAGAAGAAAAAATGAAAAAAGCAAATTATATATAAATTAGACGACTAGTAGCGTATATTTCTTTTTTATTTTCTCTTTTTTACGCAAAGCGAATTATATTATAATTTTTGCAACTAATTTCGATTTTTTCAAATATTCATATAGCTATTTATTATTGAAAAAACATTCCAGAGAGAAACACTGTGTTTGTAGCATACTAATTTTATACTGCCACATAGATTATGCATTTTACTCTTCTTTTATAAATGTAATGCGAATCTACTATTTTATGGTGTATTTTTCGTTTTTTTTAAATTTTATTTTTATTTTATTCGTGATTTTATGTGATAAGAACGTATTGTAACATGCAATTGGTTAACAGTGTATATCTATATGTGTGCCTAAGTTAGAACTCAGCGAGGCTCAGATTTAAGCTTCGTCTTATACTTTTAATTGTGGACTACATTATACAATATTTCACTTGTTGATATATTATTTATGGGTACTTTCATATATATATTTACTTTTCGTGAATTAACAACAGTGTGTACATTGCATGTACATTATTATAGAAGATACACATATAAATATATATATATATATATACTTATGAAACAGATAATTTAGTGGGGTAAATAGAGTTCATATAAATTGTAAAAAATATATCGAGTCCATAGTGTTGGTGTATTGTAATAATAATTTGAACTCTTTAAATGAGTTCAGAACAAATACATTTGTGAGTATGTCTAAAATTACAGTGTTATAGATATATATTTAATATCGAAAGGCAGAATGCAAACGTTGCCATTAATTTAAGAAGCAGTTGGATTTATTTTTTGGACAGTCAATGTTTTATCTAGTAGTATAATTTTTTTCACTCCTTCAAAAGAGTGGAAGCAACTATAGTTTCCAACAATACACACACAAAGAAAGATATGACACTGTAATAAAAATAATCATTCTGAATAAATTGATAAAAATAATTCATCTGAATAAAAATGATAAAAAATTATTTTCTTTTTATATATATATATATATATGCGAGTATACTCTTTCTATGAAACAAAAATCTTTAAATGATCTTATATATTGTGCAGTATAACTTTTTGCTTCTCATTTACTTATCATAATACAGATTTATTCTTTGTAAATAAAGAGCACAAACAACTATGTAATCCAAACTATGCGCCTTCGCATATAGCTTGCAAAGCTAGAGCTATAATAAGTTATATTTTTAAGCTTGGTATATAGTAATTATGTATATATATTCCGTGATTTTATATCATAGAAAGAAATAGAGAACAAGAGCGATCATGGCTGCCAAATTTGCACGTCAAATTTATATTATTAAATATTTTTTAATTAATTGCAAGCAAAAAAGAAGTATTAATGAATATCAAAGAAGTTATAATTTGATTTTTTATTTGTTTTATATATTCGGAGAAGGAAAAATATGTATAATTTTATTTAATTTTTAATATTTTTATTTTCTTTTATATTTTATCAGAATTAATATATTAAAATGCTTTTTGCATTATAACCGAATTGATTAGAATAATTGCCTAAATATTTTTTAACGTTTACGTTTAAGCAAGCATTAAGAAGCATTTTCAATGATATTTTATTTCAAGCAAATATAATTGTCGTAATGAATGATGAATGGACTTTTAAAATATTTTTATCTTGCAGTTTTTATTATATTTCACGAGGGTAAAAAGAATGCATTGATTGCAATTTATTATGCATATTTTTAAAAAAAATATTTGCAAAAAGTAATAAAAAAAAAAGAGAGAGAGAAAGAGTTACTCGATAAATAAGACATATGTATCGGCGAGATAGACTTAATATAGATGTAAAGAAAAAAAAAGCTTTTAACAAAAAAAAAAATCGAAGACAAAAAAATAGTTCAGTTTGTAAGTAAAAATTCAAATGTACTACGCTTAGTTTACGTTCTCATAGATGATGGCACAGAGTGCAATACAGATTATAATTGATCGATGGGTGTATAATGCATTTGATCGATTGCGTATGATTGCGCAACTATTTTAAGCTTTGTTTTTTTATATTTTTAAATATCTCCTTACATAACTAAACATTCATTTAAATTCTTTGGTTTTTTTCTTTCTTTTTAAATGCTTTTTGGTGAAGGATTGTCAGTGTAGTCACTTCGCGTATCCTTTTTATGCAGAAGGGTTTCACTAAAATTATGTTCGATTACTAGATTTGCATTTATGTTCTTGTATTTTACGTGTACGTTTAATTTAATCTTTTTCAGTAGCTTACTCGTTGATTTTTTAAAATTTATTTTTTATTGTGTTTTAATTAAAATACTATAAAGAACAATTTTAAGAAACGAATCGAAAATATATTATACCCGCGGCGTACCTGCGTTTACAGATATATATATATATATATATATATACACACGTAAAATGTTTGTTGGTAATTATTTATACACCGAAAAAAAGAAATCTGTTTGCAATATCTTTTTTAGACTTGTAATATTTTCTTTATTTTTTGTTTGGTTTTCTTTTTTATGAGATGAAAAATATATTTATCATAATTCAAATTTTGTTAAATAAAATATAATTCTTCTTCTTTTCATTTTAATTGTGATACTGCTTTTGAATTTGGTGCTCATTTATTTGATTTTATCGTCTAAACGAAATATATTATTATTGTATGCAATGTTTATCTGTATCAATAACGAGATGATGATGATAACATAGAAGAGTAAGAGTAAGAGAGAGAAAGAGAAAAGGAATTAAAAAACACACAGTTGATAAATATTAATTAAAAACGTATTATCACTTGTACAATATAACCCATTTATTGTTTTTTTTTTCTAAAGCTAGTAATATGTTCTGTAAGAAAATACGATAAAATTGAATTGGGTTAAAATGTTATTCGGAATGAAAAGATTCGCAAATATTTATGAGACGACCCTTTTAAAAGAGCAAAACTTTCAGAATAATTCGACAACAGCAGATTTCCGCTCGTGAGAACTTCATAGGGCTGCTTATCGTAATAAATTCCTCATGTATTACCCTAAATAGTCATCGTATTTGCTAATCTTAATGGACCATAAAAGTATAAAATTAGGAGATGGTTATACATTCGATAAATTACAAGACGACAGAGTCCTGTAGTTCCACTAAAGCTGTGATAGATTCTATATTTTAAACATTTAAGAAATTAGAATGTTGTAGACGATCGAAAAAAAAAATTAAAAAATATGTATATATACATATATATAATATATATTATGCAACAATCGATGATATTAGCATAATGTTATCGTATTAGTTAGTATAATAACATTGTAAAGTGATGTGTCGAGAAATCTATAGTTAAAATAAATTCAATAAATGTGATTACCTAAACAAACGGATTATAAAAAAGATTGGCAAAGAGAAGGGTAGAGGAGGAGTTGAGATAAGGAAGGAGGGAGGAAAGAAAGAAAGAAGGAAGGAAATGAAAAAAAAATCTTCCTCAGTTGAAATCATTACTTGATGAGACCCTTCGCTTTAAACAAATCTCTCATCAATCCTTTTAAGTACCCAATTTCCCGCTGTAGATCCTTTACTTGGCCTTGCAACTTTTCATTGCACTCAGTAAGTTCATGTTCTTCGCCTAAAATATCTTTAATCTCTTGTTTCTTTTTTTGCCTGTAACGGGTAGCCGCATTTTTGTTTTGTTCTTTTTTCCGTACTTTTTTGTCCTCAACCGTTGGGTGGGAGTAGGGTTTGCATCGATTCTTTTTACCAATTGAAATAGATTGTTTCTTATTACAGGATGTATCAGCGATCCAGTCAGGATCGTCAGAAGTAGAATCTTCGGAAGAGATACAGCTACCACTTGGACTGGTACATGAACTGTATTCTGTTGGGATGTCCTCGGTGTGCGATCGCACGTATTCATCTACAACTGCTAGATCATTGGCAACGTTTTCTCCTCCTAGTGGATCCAATGATACACTTTCGGGATTCCATTGTTCTGGAACGCATACTTCATTCTGATAGACTGCAGGTTGTTGTTGTTGCTGTTTTTCTGGAGATACTATGATATTATATACAGGCAACTCTTGTTGTTGACTTGATATTACCGACTGGATCGTTTGCACCGGTTGCAAGGTAACAAGCAATTGACTGTCTACAGTTAATAATTTATTCGGTGGAGGTGATTGTGGCGGGGTCAAGGTTGAAACTGATGATGGAATTGTTTGATAGCAAGCCTCAACATCTTCTAAAACCGTTTCGAATTCTTCTAACAATGTTTTAGTGTTATATTGTTCTTGCTGATTTTTTATTACAGCCGGATATACTGATTTGTTTTGACCACATTCTGGAGTTTCTAATTCGTCGAATATCGGCAGATTAGTCCTCTCCTCCAACCAATATGAAAAAGGTTCTGTAAAAATGATCTATTTTAGAATTTGTATTATTCTTTACTATCTCTAAATAAGCAATACATCATACGCAGGATGAATTTCAAATTTCTAGCCTGGGAGTTTTATAATTTGAACGGGTAATTTAATATAACTTTACAAGCTAAACATTTTTCGAAATAAATAACTAATATTTAATTTCATCTAGAAATTTTAGGCTCACCCTGTATATATTAAATAGTTAATTTTTTTTCTTTGAATATTTATAATAGAAAGTTTCGCTCTATTCTCTTTCAATGAAATAATATTATCTAATTTAGTTAATAATGCGAGAATATTGATCCTTAGAGAACAAATAACTATTCTTTTTTCTTTCTTTTTCTTTATTCTATGTATCTGTAACTTTACCTTTTACAAAACATAGAGAATTAATTAACAGTACATTTTACTGATTTTTTGCATGAGCAATAATGTAGGAGTGGCGCAGTGATGTATGTATAATTTCATGGACATTCTGGTTCAACTAGAATAACAAGTTACTCATTTGCAGTTCTCGAACTGTTACTATTGGAGTTTATAAAGGTAGAGCATATTTAATTTAAGATTAACGTAGCCCACAATCATTTATTGGATGAAAAGAAAAAACGTCTCGTATAAGCTCTTTCTTTCTCTCTATTTCTCTCTCAGGACAATTTAACGATTTGCTATTAAGGAGCTAAAAAAAATAAAATAAAAAAAGAATAAAATTATTTTACAAGTTTTATTTAAAATATTACTGTCTGACTCGCGAGTCGTAAGTTTTCGATTTTATTTTTTTTATCACAAAATAAGATACATATATTACTTCATTTTTTATGACAAAAAATGGATATACATATTTTACAAAAACAATAGTGGGCTTTTATAATATAAAATGCATATCTGTTAATGTTTTTATTCTTATTCCTAGATCAACGTGATTTCAACTATTACAAACTACGTGAGCCCTGACCCATTTTCTTATGAAACTTTGATCGAAGACAACTAGATACCGTTTAAAAGTTATCGTCATTTAAATACGGAGGCCAAAAGGTTAGATAAGAATATATATATATATATATATTTTTTATTATTATAAAGAAACAGATATCTGACGGTAGCTTTTTGTTCTAATCATTATCGTAATCATTATCATGGTGCTTTTGGATCGTTTAGCAGAAATCAATTTTATTTATTTTATTCAATGGTACATTAAGCAAACCTTTCGTGAAAAGATTTGCGATAAATGCATTGAATTTTGAAACCAAAACGATTAATAGAAATGTACATATACATAAAAAAGTTGCCGAGGAATTTGGGTAAAGTTGCCAAACAAGTGTGAGCTGAGCGATAAAATATGATTAGCGTATTCCAAGAGAGAATCGCGTGATAAACAAATTTGGTGACCTTAATTAAAAGAGATGCCACTACCGTCGTCATCATCATCATCATCATCATCATCATCATCATCATCATTACCATCACCATCACAGAGTGTGATGTCTCTATCTCTTCCAAATTATTTGATCTCTAAGGATTTTCTCGTTTTTATAAAAAAGCAAAAAAAGAAAAGAAAAAACAAACAAACAAGAAAAAATTAAGTCAATCGCCTTTATCTGGAAAATACGTTTGACATGTGTTTGAAGAAGGATAGAAGGGTGGACATGTGACTTGAATTCGATTATAAAAGATTTTTCCTCGATCCCCCTACTTGTGCGTTTGATATAAGTTATTTCCAGTTTCCTCTCTAAACCCCTTATCCAGCTCCCATTTAAACTCCACATTAGCTTTGTCTATTTCTTAGAGTTCTTTAACACTAGATTGCCCAAGGCAGTCATTTTGACTGTTTTTTATTTTCAATTAGAAAAACAATTATGTATATAATGACACAATTTCTTAGAATTTGGTTTTTATTGTTAATATTTACTAATAACTTGTTGTATAACTGTAAATAATATAAGAAATATTAAAAATTAATTTTAAACAAATTTGTTTACACATTAGTTATTTTTTCACAATGCAGTCATTTTGACTGTTTTTGGGCAATATAGCTATACAAGAAATCTCGGGCAATCTAGTGTTAA